GTTTCTACCCTCAGCATCACAAAATACGTTTTTCTTGTCCACACTGAAACCATCATCTATTTGAAGCTAACCAGCCTTTTTCCCTTATATATTCTTTCCAGACTAAAGAATACCAGTTTTTAAGACCTTTCCTCTTAAAAAATGATTTCTTGACCTTTTTTGTTCCTACCCTTCTGGACATCTCTCCATTTAATGAAGATCTCACTTTAGATGTAGAATGTGGAAATGAGCACAGACTATCAGATGTTATGTTCATCTCCAGTTCCCTTTTGAGAAGAAGCACAATTAAAAAACAAATGTAATGGCAATATTTCTTGCTTATGAGGGGGAAAAAAACAATTTGCCATGACATGGAATTGGGACAACAAGAATTTGAGGAAGTATTTTTATTTACTGATGAACTTTTGAGGTTTCTACAGTATAAGTGTTGATTTTGTCTTATACCATTTTCAGGAATAATCTTTAATATTTGCATTGAGTTTACTCTTCAGATTACAAAATTCAGTTGTTCACAAGAATTATTAAAATTTATGCTACACAGGACTGATTTTAATGTGTCCGATAGGTTTTTTTTTTTTTTTAAAGATTTATTCATCTAAACAAGCACTGGGGTACAGGCCAGAGGCGCGGGGTGGGGGGGCGGTGAGAGAATTCACCAGAGACGGAGCAGAACAGGCAGAAGGACTGAAGTACACTGCTGAGAGGAGCAGTGGGCGAGACAGGAGAGGTCTGCTGTGCCTTGTGGGAATCTCCCCAGCCGGCCGGAAATCGAACTGGCGCAGCTCTGTGAAGCTTCAACCCACTGCGCCACCGCAGAGACCCTGTTTTATTTTTTTAAAGATTTATTTATTTATGCATACAAGAATGGGGGTACAGGCCAGAGGGGCGGGGGGGAGGGAGTATGTGAGAGAATTCACCAGAGACAGAGTGGGGAACAGAAAAGGCAGATTGAAGATTGACCGAAGTACACTGCTAAGAGGAGCAGTGGGCGAGTCAGGAGAGGTCTGCTATGCCGTGTGGGTTGCTCCCTGGCCGGCGGGGGAATGAATTCATGCTGCAGAGGGTAGCTTCATAGGTTGTGTCTTAACCCCTTGCACCACCAGGGAGGCCCTGTCAGATAGTTTTTAACATGATGGATATATGTGTTCTTATATAACTGAAAATCTATTACTTTTACATTTGACAAAAATCTTTACTTAGCGTAAGACTCTCTTGACTAACAACCTTTCTCTGTGGATTTTTCATTCTCAGGCAACATTTAATATTCAAAGAAGACCAAGATTAATTCAAATTTTGTTCGTCATAATTTAAAATTTTTGCCAGAATGTGTGCAAAATGTTGAGTTTTTAAATTAATTTAGCTGAAAAAATAGTGAAGCTTTTCAGTCTGCATGCAAAATCTTTTTCAGCTCAAGATGTTATTATGTCTCAATGGGTTGCTGTCCTCCCATTTGTTCTAGCCTCTTCAGTTTTTCCTTTCAGTGTTATTAAATGCTTTATCTTTCCGTTTTCTTCATTTTCTTTTTTTAAAGATTTATTTATTTATGCATACAAGAGCTGGGGTGTAGGCCAGAGGTGTGGGGGGGGTGGTGGTGAGAGGATTCACCAGAGACAGAGCGGGGAGCAGAACAGGCAGATCTTCTGAAATACACTGCTGAGGGGAGCAACAGGCAAGACAGGAGAGGTCTGCTGCGCCATGTGTGTCAGCTCCCCTGGCCAGGGATTGAACTTGTGCTGCAGCGGCTGTGGATAACTTCACAGTGCTGACACTTAACCCCTTGTGCCACCAGAGAGGCCCCTCCTTTGACTATTTGTCTTAGTTCCTATGCTGTCTCTTCCTTACTGGCCCTTCTTTATCCTGTTCATACACAGGTCAGTCAATATAGGAAAGTAAAAACTGTTAGAAGCTCTCAGTGAGCACTACCATTTTTATGTACTTTATATATAGTCTTACACTTTATATGTACTTTATATCCCATATTCTTCTTCAGCATCTACCATTACCATCCTGTTGTCTAGAGGCCTTTTTTTCCCCCTTAAAGAAAGTTTTTTGAAACTTGTATTATTTTTCTAAGAATAAACAAAGATGGATTTGTTTTATTTTCAATTGTATTATTTTTATTGTGGTAACAGTGGTTTACAGCACTGTATATGTTCGTGGGGGGTACAAGTTCATACCTCTTCAGATGTATGTTACAGCATGATAACCACCACCACCCATAATTCTCCACCATTGTCCTTTGGGCTCCCCCCATCTTTTCCCCTCCCCTCCTCTTATAGCTTCAATTCTATAGCCAGATTTCTAAGGGTTTTTTTTTTGTGTGTGTTTGTTTTGATTTTCTTTGTTCCTTTGTTTAGTTTCTCTGTATTCCACATACGAGTGAAATTATCCAGTATTTGTCTTTCTGATTCTGACTTACTTCACTTAACATAACACCCTCCAGTGCCATCAATGTTGTCCCAGATAGTAAGATTTCATTTTTTTGCACAGCTGTGTAGTCTTATGTATCTCACCTTCTTACTCTACTCATCTGTTGTTGGGAACTTAGGTTGTTTTCCATACTTGGCTGTTGTACATAGTGCTGCAGTGAGCATAGGAGTGCATATGTCTCTTGAAATGAGTGTTCTTCCATGCTTAGATATCTAGAAGTAGAATTACTAGGTCAAAAGGTTTTTTAATATTTTGAGAAACCACCACACAGCTTTCCATAAGGCCTGAACTAGTCAACATTCCCTCCAACAGTGTACCAGAGTTCTCTCTTCTCTACACCCTCTCCAGCAGTAGTTACTACTGGTCTTTTTTGATACGGGTCATTCTCAGAGGAGTGAGGTGATGTCTCATTGTGGTTTTATTTCCATTTCCCTGATGGCAAGTGATGATGAGCATTTTTTCATATGCCTATGACTGTATGTCTACTTTGGAGAAGTGCCTATTTAGCTCTTCTGTTGTGGGCTTATTTTAATGGTTAAATACATACTGATAACAGTGCTGCTCTGGAGGAACAAAGATTTGCTGGGGAGGAGTATGCTCTAATAATCCTTTATGGTGCAGATTCGGTTATTTCTTTTTCAAAAATGCCCCCTCCCACATAATAGTATTACTTTCAGCACAATGTTCTACTGCCTTATTTATTCACTGCCTTATTTCCTGCCATAGACCCATGGCATTCAGTTATTTATTTATTTTTTTTAAGAATGACTACATAGTACACTACTATTAAGTCTTATATAATGTTGAACATTCCAAATATTTATTTAAAATTTTCTTCAGAATTCTAGATTATTTTCAGAGGTGTCATTTCAAGTATTATGTTTACTTTATGAGTGAAAGACATTTTTTTCATAGTTCTTACATCATGCATCTCCCACACACTTTTTGCTCATCCTTTTATGAAGTAAGATCTATGTAGACTTGATGCCATCAATGATTGGTTGCTGTTGGCATTAAGGTCTCTACTTGGGTTAAGGATGTATTTTCTTAGACCTACAGCTAAATCTGATGGCTTACTTCTTTTATCCTGCTCCATACACCAGGTCAGCCATACAGATTAATATGCCACCTTTCTCTCCAGTTGCTAGCAGACATTCACTTGATACAACTCTGCTCTCCTAGGAGGACATCTTCTCTTGTCCTGTACCTGGTTCTTTAACATAATCTCGAGAGAGTTTATGAAAAAAGTACAATTTGTCTGGCCTCTGTCCTATATATAGCATTTCTCCGTTAAAAATTCACTTTGTAGGATGTGTTGTTTGCTCTTTCTGCTCCTTTATTTTATAAGACTTATTTTCCTAAATGGATATAGAAAGATGGTGGACAGGGTGTGAGCAAGAACAAGACTCTTGGTTTTGTTGTGAAGTAGTACCTGGATGCTATAAGTTGGCTGCCAGGTATTCTAGATGATACACGCTTCAGGTCTTTTAATTCATGAGATTGGAGAGATATAAATAGCCCTTTATTACCACCTCTCTTTTATTTAGTCTGTCTCTGTTTCATATGGTGAGGTCCTCATCTTTTTTTTTTTTTTTTTTGTGGGACCCTCGCAGGCGGCCGGGGAATGAACCAACAATGCAGAGGCTGCGGGCAGCCTCGCAGCTCAGCGCTCAACCGCTATGCCACCAGGGGAGGCCCGGGGTCCTTATCTTTATTAATGCAGTGCCATCAATCTCATATAAGAATGTGGAGAGTAATCTTACATTCTTGTGGGGTTTTTTTTTTTTTTTTAGATGTGTTCAATTATTGATAGGATACTTTTTCTTCTCTTTTTTGTGTCATCATTGGTATTTTAGTAGGGTGGGAAAAGCCACATTGAATCTGCTATTTGAACATAATTTAAAGCCTGGAGTTTAGGAAGGTTGATTTAACTTCTGTAAACTAAAGTTGGTTGGTTGAATTCTCTCTGAGGATTATCTTCTCACTGAAGTTTTCCCATTATCTTAAAGTTGAGTTTTTCCTAGTTCTGCTTGTTTTTGTCTTTTGCGTTTACCCATAATAAAAAATTTTCTCCCTGACAGTACAAATGACAAGGAATCTAAATTATTTTCAGTAGGACCTGTTAGTAGAGGACTTTAAAAACTTTTAGTAGACCATGTTCTAAGTCTCTGATAACTGAGTTTCAGGGAGCACGGAGAAAGGTAATGTGAGTAGAGCTTGAGTCTGTGATGTGCCATGGCCTGTATTGATTGAAAGAGAATTGCCAGCTGCCAGTGGTAGTAGAAATAAGTCTCTCAGGAGTGGGAAACTAGAGGACTCTTAGTTAAGACTTACCACAGAATCTCCGGGCTGTTGAAAATTTTGTACTCTCCTCTAGGGAGATGGAGTGGGAATTAACTTTTCCCCCAGTTCAATGTAACTTGGTTAGAAATACAATTGAACCTGTTTGTCTTGTCCATTGTGATGTGATAGGCACCTAGGAAGGGTCTGTTTTGTGTGGGAGTTTATTTCAGCCTGTGTCCTTGCCTGTATTGTTTCCTTTAACAGCTCTTTAAATTTTCTTTTTCCAGCAATGATGTTGTCCACTGGGCATGTACTGACCAATGTGGCAGGTCTGAGAACATAGCTGAAGCTGAAAATAGGAAAGCTGGGGCAAGGAAGAGCCTTGAATCTTGAGGTGGGACGTTGACTCTAAGATGTCCTTGAGCAGTGGAGCCTCCGGAGGGAAAGGAGTGGATGCAAACCCGGTTGAGACATACGACAGTGGGGATGAATGGGACATTGGAGTAGGGAATCTCATCATTGACCTGGACGCCGATCTGGAAAAGGACCAGCAGAAACTGGAAATGTCAGGCTCAAAGGAGGTGGGGATTCCAGCTCCTAATGCTGTGGCCACACTGCCAGACAACATCAAGTTTGTGACCCCAGTGCCAGGTCCTCAAGGGAAGGAAGGCAAATCAAAATCCAAAAGGAATAAGAGTGGAAAAGACTCTAGCAAACCCACTCCAGGGACTTCCCTGTTCACTCCGAGTGAGGGGGCAGCTAGCAAGAAAGAGGTGCAGGGACGCTCAGGAGATGGTGCCAATGCAGGAAGCCTGGTTGCTGCTATTGCTCCCAAGAGCTCAGAGAAGGTGGCTAAGGCGTCCCGCAGTGTAGCCGGCTCCAAAAAGGAGAAGGAGAACAGCTCATCTAAGAGCAAGAAGGAGAGAAGCGAAGGAGTGGGGACTTGTTCAGAAAAGGATCCTGGGGTCCTCCAGCCAGTCCCCTTGGGAGGACGGGGTGGTCAGTATGATGGAAGTGCAGGGGTGGACACAGGAGCTGTGGAGCCACTTGGGAGTATAGCTATTGAGCCTGGGGCAGCGCTCAATCCTTTGGGAGCTAAACCGGAGCCAGAGGAAGGGGAGAATGAGTGTCGCCCGCTAAAGAAAGTCAAGTCTGAAAAGGTAAGAGGTGGCCAAATCTGGCTGCCCACTGCCAGTCAGTACTTCCCTGGACTAATTGCCAAATGCTATGTGTACTCTGTGGGAGGTGGATCAGTTTGTGGGTAATGACCAATTACAAGGTCAGAGCAGCTGGTAATGATAATGTGGTTTTGTTCTAAATTAGGGGATTCCTTACAGATTAATCAACAGCATGCCTAGACATTTTGGAATGGCGTATCTGTTGGGGGCAGCTACTTGGTAGAATCAATTTCTATAGGTCAAGTTGAGACCCTCCCACTTTGTCCTTGTACCACCTCAGACATTTGTTGCTGGAGGTTGGCATCAACATTTATGTGGTTCCCAACTTGACTGGCATTTCATCCTCAGTCATTAAGTTGATAAACTTAAATAGACTCTATATTTGTATTGAGTGCTGTTCTTATGGAATAAACAGAGTTGCTAGGTCTCTGAAAGAGAAAAGGGTAAAATAAGTTTCATGGCATGATTATTTACCAAGTGTTTTGTTGGTGGCTACTGAAAAGCAAAGGGCCACAGTTTGAGGGGAAAGATTACGGGGCAGGAGGTACAGACTGTACTGAGTTACATAATCAGTCCTTGTGAGTTGGTGTTGTGGCTGTGAAAATTTGGCCTTGAAAGACTCTTTGGCCACTAAAGGTGTAGCTCTTGGCCAGGTATCTCCCTCAACTATTGGGAATCAAAGTCTCCTGCTGGTTTAATAGCTGCCAAACAAAGTAATGATACTTTGCCTTCTGCTTGACTTGGAAGGACAGGTGCCTGCAGCCCCAGGAGGTACACTCCTCTGGGAAGATGATCTTAGTTCATATCTCATGAAATGGAGCTTGCAGGGCTGGAGCAAGTAGGTGTGAGTCTAGGGTCAGCTCAGGCTGCCTTGAACTTCAGCAGCTTACAATTTTCTGCAAATCGGCTGGCCTGGTGATGAGCTGTTCATTGGCTTCTGATTTTCTGCTCTGTTTTCTGCTTGCCCTGTGCTTTCAACTGATCCCAGCAGATGCAGTATAAATTGATTTCTTTGTAATTACATCAGCTGCAACAGGGAATATCTATTTCCATATGTAAGTGTTAATAAATAGAGGCTGGATGTATACATTTGGGTAATGGTGCCCTTTCATTGCCTGGATCCCAGTGGTAGCTTGTGTTTTCTTTGCTGTAGGTATTTTGGTCTTTGCCTCTGGCACATCTGTAGCTCTTAGCAACATCTGGGCTTCTCTGGTAACAGGGCTGTGAATTTTCTTCCACTAATAAACACAATGGTTCATTCCCTTTTACCAGTGGCAGCTGCCAGAGAGACTGCCTGTGTTTAGGTGGCAGATGCTATAGTCCACCTCAACAGAGTCAAGTTCCAGCTGGTTACTAGCTTGACTCATCCTGTGCTGGCCGTGATTTACCTTTTTTTTCTGGGGTACAGATGGATAATTCTGTTCTAAAAAGGCTTAGCAGTACTAGGAGTTCTTGCTTCTGTTCCAGGCCCATTAAACTGTTCCCTACATCCAGCTTCAGGAAACTCTTGCGATATATCCATTTATAATCATTGTTCTCCCTGTGCTAAAAATTGGCTACTTCTGAGCGTGGCCTTCATTTTCCTTTCTGATTAGAACTCTTAACTCATGTTGTGATTTAAGCCCACTAGTAGTCTGTGGGTAAAAGAATTTATGATACTTAGCTTCATGTTTTATTTAAGCCTAAATATCCATGATAGTTTCCAGCAGAGAAGCAAATGTTTTCTTATAGGTACGGGGACTGATTGGATGACTGTCCTTCAGATTATAATTGCATTGAAAGATACAGTACATTCAGCTGTTCTGAATTGGTACAGGGTGGTTTGCTCCTTATTAATGTAACTGTTTTCTAAGCCTGGTCTCCCTAGCAGACTGATGATGGGGACAGTGGAATGAGAGAGAAAGGGAGAGAATGTGCTTCAGTTTTTGGAAAAAAGATAAAATTGCTGTAAAGTACTTTCGGAAACAGAAAATTTGCTATGCAATTCTCAGTTCCTTTCATTGTTCTCTTTACCCTTTTGAGCAATCTGGTTGTGGGGGATGCCTTTCCATAAAGACTTTGGCCACTGAAATAAATAATTATTTAAATAATGTTTGGAAGTTGCTAGGAGATGCAAACACTCTGGGGAGAGAACTTTTTGGAGCTGGGGGAGGGAAAGAAGCAAGTTAAGGGAAAGGCTAAGAATCTTGTAGTGGATCAGCTTTTAAGAAACAGGGACTCCAGGGCTTGGAATATAGTAGGTGCTTAGTTAATGTTTGGTGGCTACCACTAAGCAAGGTCTATGAAAACATCTTTAAGATTTTCTCTCTAAGGGCCTCCCCGGTGGCGCAGCGGTTGAGTGCTGGGTTGCAAGGCTGCCCGCGGCCTCTGCGGCGCTGGTTCGATTCCCGGCTGCTCCCCGGCCACCGGAGGAGGGTCCCACATGGCGCGCAGACCTCTCCTGCCGCCCGCTGCTCCCCTCAGCAGTGTACTTCGGTCCTTCTGCCTGCTCTGCTCCCCGCTCTGGCTCTGGTGAATTCTCTCACCCTCCCGCGCTTCTGACTGTACCCAGTGCATGTATAAACAAAACAAACGAACAAACAAACAAATAAATAAATAAACATTAAAAAAAAAAAAAAAGATTTTCTCTCTAAGATATGGTCTTGCCAATGGTTTAAATGGTTTGGAATGTTCCTTCTGTGTGCGAACAGCCAGCAGAACCAAAACAGTAAAAACATGTTTTGATATAATCTAGGCATTATATTCTCTGAATTGGAAACTATCATGAAGAGGGAAAACAAATTTTGGGAAATGTCTTGACTCAAATCATCCTTCTCTGCCCCCCTTCCACTCTTGGAAATAGAGAATATAAGTTAAGTATAGGTGTAGGATAGAATTGTCACCTGTCTACCATTAGCTAAAGAGGAAGATTTGAATATTCAAATTACCTATTTCAGGACCTCTCTTATCAAGCTCTTACCTCTCTTATCATCTCAAGCTATGGCTGAGGAATTTTCTGTTAACCAAGGATGTGGAGTTCCCATCAAGGGATCCCACTTTTGTACCACCACACCTCTGGTGAAGCTCGATGTGCCATTTCCCGGAGTTCTAGGAGAGACCAGAGGGGATGACTCTCAGCAACCCCTGTTGCCTTATGTCGTTATTAAACACTCCTTCCTTGTGCTTCCTGTCAGCCAAAGAGATGGGGGTAGGAAATCTGGAGGAATAAACAAGATAGAACCTTCTGGCTCCTGGCTGTTCCCTTCCTTTTGGTTTGATTGAAAGGTTAAGTTAGGGATGGAAGGGGTGATAGGGAGGAGAGAGGACACCTGTTTGAATGTCTCAAGCCTAGTGCTGGACAGGCAAGGGGAAAAAAAAGAAGAAAAAGGTAAGATTATCCCTATCTTTTTTTTTTTTTTTTTTTTTTTTAAATCATATGCGGTAAACTAGTAGGCTGTGGTGGCTAAAGAATCTAGAAGTTTGTAACCAGAATCAGAGGCTTCCTTTGCCTCTTTAGCTTCTGCCTTTGATCTTGCAAGGAGGGAACACTGCAGTCTGCTTTCCCCATGTCTGTGTCTCAGCTTTTGCTGCTCTCAGAGTGCTGCATATATTTACCACTTCCCCCATTAGTTTAGGATACCAAGGAAACGATAATGTGTTCTTTGCTCTTTCACCTTCAGATCATGCTTGCTTTTGCTTTCATCCTGTGGTCGAAGAGCATCTTTTCTTTGCCCTTGGTTTTGTTTTCCTGCCCTAGTTTATGCCTTCCCGCTCAGCTCTCTAGTGTTGCAATTCCCCATTGCCCAACCAAGGTCAGTTTCTCTTTTATTCCTTCTGATCCAAGGCTTTCTATCTCAACACCTTACTCCTTCACTAGCTGTTCTTTCTCAGTTATTGATGGCATTAACAGTCAGCCTGGCTTCCTGAAGCCAGATGCCCTCAAGCATTTTCCTTCATGAAGAAATTAAGTTGATATTTATGCAGGGTAGAGATGCACTGTCTAACTACCATGGAGCTTGAGTTTAATTTATTTTTTCTTCAGAGCTGTTTTCCGTTTGGGTGTTGTAATTCAAGGAGAGCCCAGAGAAAGATTATCTTGTCCAATCTCTATTTCATAGAAGAGGAAACTAAGACCAGTGAGGTAATGTGACTTGCCTAGGTAGACAGTGGGAAAGCCAGGCATAGAAATCAGATTTTTAAATATAAAGTACTTATGGCATATTACTTAGAGATTCTTAAATATTTAACTCAGAGATGATTCCCTGTTTTACCACTTTAAAGACTATCTTAGAAACATTGGCTGTGAATGCTAGGTACTCAAAAATGCCCGGATGCTTTCATTTGTTTTTCAACTAATTTTAACATTTTAACTCAATAAACAAAGGTTTCTTTGGTAATGTAGTAATGTTTATCAAAGAACAACAATTTAGAGCTGGCTCTGAATTCTGTCCTATTTTTTGTAAAGAGGAAATGTTACTTGAATTACTTTTAAAGTGCCATTATGAGCTTGACAGAGAAAGAGATATTGATTGGTTACTGGTTTTCATTGTAATCATTGAGATATTCCAGTTTCTTCTTTATTTGCAATTGCCGGGCAGGTAAGGGGAGATAAATCCTGTCCTTGTGCTTCTTGGATATTTTGCAATACATGTGTTGTGGATGTTAACTGTTTTGTAAAGAGGTGATGTACTGTTGAATGCCATTATCATCTTCCATTCATTTAGTACACTAATTTAGTGCATATTAGATTCTACTTACTATGTTTTGTCTTGGTATATATTGGTGAGTAAAATAGAGATGATCCCTGCTTTTTGAGGAGCTTTTAGTTTATTATCTAGAGCAGAGTTCCTAAAAGTGTGCCCCATAAAACCATGTGCATCCTGACACCTGAGTGTCACAAATGCAGATTCTTGGACCTTATGCCAGATCTGCTAAATAAGTTTTATGGGTAGGAGCCCAGAAGACTGTACTTCCAAAAGATTCTCCACATAATTGCTATCTTA